GAATGTCCGGAACCCATCATCGTCCTCTCCTACCCAGGAGGTGATTTACAGCCCACCAGATATCTGAAGGTTTTCATCTCTGCTCCTTACCCCCACTCCCAAAGTGGTTTCGTGGGTATAAAAAGATCTTGTCTCTCTTCTTTCGGGGCCATGGGTTGGAGAGACGTGAGTCCTCCGTGGTCGCCGGCAATAAACCCTGCAATTTGGCATACTTTTGTCTTGGTGTTGACTTCCTGTGCTCAGTCCGATACAACACAAGTCTGTATTTTTCTTCTGCACTGCCCTATAGAAGTTTTTCAAGAGGTTCTGCCTGTGCAACAGGCTTCTGCCTGGAAACAGTGAGGGGTGGGGAGTAAAGTGGGGGTGTGCTGGGGGCAGATCTTTCACAAATGCTTAAGCAATGTCTTTTCCTGATAGTGAGTTCTAAGGAGATCTGGTTGTATGACAGGGTGTGGTACCTCTTTCTCAGTCTTGCTCCTACTACTGCCAGATGAAACATCCCATTGCTTCTTGGTCTTCTAGTATCATTGAGAGGCTTCTCGAGTTTGCCCAGAAGCAAAAGTCTCTATACTTTTTTTACAGCCTGCCTAACCCTTTAGGCAATCAACCTCTTTATGATTACACAGAAAATTAGAGCTGTGAGATGTCCTCAAGGGATTTTCACCACTGTCTCGGGAATCAACACTCAGCTTCTTTTCACGCAAATATCTGAAGTCTCTGTGAATTTTCTACCCTAAATGGGCTTTTCTTCTTTTAGCACATTGCCAGGTTGCAACAAAGGTAGCTGAAAATGTAGAAGCAGGTTCAGAAGTGGCTAACAGCCAGAGGTTGGAGAGTTTGGAGGCCTTGAAGAAGACAGAAAGGTAAGAAAAAGTTTAGCCTATTGTAGAGACTTGCTAAATAGTTATAATTAAAAGGATTATAGATGGAAGGACAGTGAAGGCCGGGCTTAGAAGATCTCAGATAAAAATGAGGAACTTACTGAAAACAAGAGCCAAGGTTACTTTTGTTTTGCCTTAGGAGAGAACGTGGCTGCACAGTGCCCCTGCCCTGGAGACTGTAAAACTCTGAACTTAAGGGTGATGATTTAGGTTGTATTTGGTGGAATGAACATCTATGCACCAAAGCTTAAGAGGTGTCCTGTTTGTGTCAAAGATCCTGTGGTCTTATGTGTGACCAAATAAATAACCTCAAGTTGAAACTTCTATTTGAATGAGAAGCAGAGCTTAAAAGTTTGGACAATTTGCAGCCTGGCCAAATGGTCAAAGAGAAAAGCTGATTTTCAGTGTAAAATTTCAGTAAGAATTCAAAAATTTGCATACAATGGAGCCCAGTACTGATAGTCAAGATAATGGGAAAAGGGCCTCAAAGGCATTTCAGACAACTTTGCAGCAGCCCGTGCTATCACAGGCCCTGGAACCTAGGAGAGAATAAATGGCTTTTTGAGCCAGTCCCATGGCCCCGCTTCTATGAGCAGCCTCAGGACACTGCTGCCTGCATACCTGCGGCTCCTGCTGCAGCTCCAGCTCCAGCCATCATTGAAAGATGCACAGGTACAGCTTAGGTCACTGCTTCAGATGATGCAAGCTCCAAGCCTCAATGGCTCCCACGTGTGTTAAGCCAGCAGGTGCACAGAGCAGGAGACTAGAGGCTTAGGAGTCTTCGTCTAGACTCCAGAGGATATACAGTAAAACCTGGGTGTCCTGGGAGAAGCTTTTTGAAGAGGCAGAGCCCCATGGAAAATCTTTACACGTCAGTACAGAAGAAACATATAAGGTTGGAGCCTCCACACAGGGAGGCACCTTTCTCCAGACCCCAGATTTATAGACCCACCAACAGCTTGCACTTTGAGTTTTAAAAAGCTACAGGCGGGCCGGGCGTGGTGGCTCACGCCTGTAATCCCAGCACTTTGGGAGGCCAAGGTGGGTGGATCATGAGGTCAAGACATCGAAACTATCCTGGTCAACATGGTGAAACCTCGTCTCTACTAAAATACAAAAAATTAGCTGGTCATGGTGGTGTGTGCCTGTAATCCCAGCTACTCAGGAGGCTGAGGCAGGAGAATTGCCTGAACCCAGGAGGCCGAGGTTGTGGTGAGCCGAGATCGCGCCATTGCACTCCAGCCTGGGTAACAAGAGCGAAACTCCGTCTCAAAAAAAAAAAAAAAAGCTATAGGCACTCAACACCAGCCCAGTTCATGAGGGCGGCTTTGTGGGATGAACCCTGCAAAGCCACAGGTGCAGAGCTGCTGAAGGCCCCGGGAGCCCAGCCATCACACCACCCTGTGCTCAGAATGTGGGACATAGATTTGAAAAAGGTAATTTTGGAGCTGAAGGTTTAAATGACTGGCCTGCTGGGTTCTTGACTTGCATGCGGTCTATAGTCACATCTGTACTTTGTGCTTCTTTCTGGCAAGTTTCTTCCTTTTGGCTGGAATGCTTATTCAATGCTTGTACAATTATTTTACCTTGTAAGTAGCTAACTTGCTTTGTATTTCAGAGGCTCAGGGACAGAAGAGACTGCAGCCTGTGTCAGATGAGACTTTGGGCTTTGGATATTTGAGTAAATATTGGAGTGAGTTCAAATATTGAGGGACTGTAGAGAAGGCATGATCATACTTTACAGAAACCATGAGGTTTTACTTCGAGAACCTGCCTGTTCTTGGCTTTTTATATAAGTAAAATCAGATAGTATTTGAGTTTTTCCTTCTGGCTCCTTTCACTTAGAAGAATGTTTTCTAGGCTTATTTATGGTTTTTCTATGGATCAGTTCTCCATTGCTTTCTATGGCTTTGTAAGTTTCCTTTGTAATTCATTAAGATAAAACAAGTGATCCACTGATATTCACACAGAGCCAACCCCTAAGCCGAAATTGTGGTAAAATATCAGTCTTTCATAACTGTCACAATACTCTCTATCTCCATGAGTTCAACTGTTTTAATTTTTAGTTCCCACAAACGAGTGAGAACATAGGAAGTTTGTCTTTCAATGCCTGGTTTATCTTAGTTAGCATAATAATCTTCTATCCATGTCCTTGCAAATGACAGGATTGCATTCTTTTTTAATAGCTGAATAGTACTCACTATGTATACGTGTCACATTTTCTTTATCTATATCTATTGATGGACACAGGTTAATTCCAAACCTTGGTTATTTTGAAGTGCTGAAATAGACATGATAGTGCAGACAGCTCATTGGGACACTGATTTTCTCATGTTGGGTATATACCTAGCAGTCGTTTTCAGGGATTATATAACAGATCTATTTTCAGTTTATTGAAAAAACTCCAAACTTTTTTTTTTTTTTTTTTTAGTGATGGTACTAATTTATATTCCTAACAAGTTTACCTGAGTTCCCTTTTCTCAGTCAAACTATTGGTGAGAATCTAAATTAGTACAATTTCTATGGTGTTTTTCACCAGCATTTGTGTTAAAGTATATTCCTTTATAGCCAGGTTTTGAAAATTTGATCCTAAAGAAATGTTGAATTATACTAAATGCTTTTTTAGCATCATTTGAAATAATCATATGGTTTTTTTCCTTCATTCTGTTGATATGATGTATCACATTGATTTGCATAAGTTGGACTATGCTTGCTTCACTGGGATGAATCCCACTAGGTCATGATGTGACCTTTTAATCATCTTATTCAATTTAGTTTTCTGGTATTTTGTTAAAAGTTTTTTTTTTTTTTTTTTTTTTGAGACGGAGTTTCACTCTTGCTACCCAGGCTGGAGTGCAATGGCGTGATCTCGGCTCACCGCAACCTCCGTTTCCTGAGTTCAAACAATTCTCCTGCCTCAGCCTCCTGAGTAGCTGGGACTACAGGCACACGCCACCATGCCCAGCTAGTTTTTTTTTTTAAATATTTAGTAGAGACAGGGTTTCACCGTGTTGACCAGGACGGTCTCGATTTCTTGACCTCGTGATCCACTGGCCTCGGCCTCCCAAAGTGCTGGGATTACAGGCTTGAGCCACCGCGCCCAGCCCAGAAGTTTTTAAATTAATATTCATCAAACATAATGGCTTATTGCTTTCTTCGCTGATGTGTCTTTTTGTTTGTTGTTTTGACATGGAGTCTTGCTCTGTTGCTCAGGCTAAAGTGAAGTGGCATAATCTGGGCTCACTGAAACCTCCGCCTCCCAGTTTCAAGAAATTCTTCTGCCTCAGTGTCTGGAGTACCTGAAATTACTGTCGCCAACCACCATGCCTGGCTACTTTTTATATTTTTGGTAGAGACAGAGTTTCATGATGTTGGTCATGCTGGTCTTGAAGGCCTAACCTCAAGTGATCTGCCTGCCTCAGCCTCACAAAGTGCTGGAATTACAGACGTGAGCCACCATGCCCGCCCTTGATGTGTCTTTTAATGATTTTGGTATCATGATAATGCTGACCTAATAGAACAGATTGAAAGTGTTGTAGGTACTCCTTTAATTTTGAAATAGTTTAAATGAGATTAATATCAGTTCCTTAAGTGTTTGGTAGAATTCAGTAGTGAAACAGAGTCCTGGGATTTTCATTGCTACAAAAATTGTATTTGGATCTTATCTTTTCTTATTTAATCTTATAAACAGTGTGTCAAATCTATCTTTTCAAAAACACAGTTGTTTGCTTTTCTGTAAATTTTTCCCTTTTTTTGTCTTTTTTATTCCTTTTTTCTTCCTTCTTTCTTTCTCATTCTTTCTCTTTCCTTCTTTCATCTTTTATTCATTCATTCTTTCTTTCTTTCTTGTTCTTTTTCTAGAAATGAAGTCTCAAGCTATCACACAGGCAAAAGTGCCATCGCATGATCTTACTTCACTGCGACTTCTGCCTCCCCGGTGTAAGAGGCTCTACTGCCAAAGCCTCCAAAGTCGTCAAAATTCAGGCATGCACAACCACGCCCACCAAATATTTTGAATTATTCATAGAAAAAATTATTCACCATGCGAGCAGGACTGACCTGGAACTACTGACCTCAACTGATTTGCCAACCCCAGCCTCCAAAAGTGCTGGCATTACAACTGTGAGACACCAGGCCGGCCTACTTTCTTACTGAAATTTTATTTATGGTCTGATTTTTACAATTTGTTTTCTATGGACTTATACAAATTTACGTTTTGATTTGTTCTTACCTTCAAACACCTCTGTGAATATACACTTTGCTCCCTTCACTACTTTCACCCTCTGTATCTAAAATCTACATCCTTTATGTCTACCCTTCACCCCAACGAGGAAAAATAAGGACGTCCTTGGCCCAGAGTCTCGGGTCTGCGTTTAGCTTCAAGGTGCTTCCCGTGGATGGCATGTAGGCTGGCAGGGCACCCGTGGGCAGGTGAAAGTGGAGCGGGGAAGCAGAAAAGGCAAAAAGGAAGTTAGGCTTGCCTACGGATCCGGCAAGGCGTTTCCAGAAAACTGGAAAAAGGGGGCGCTGGGGCTGGCTCTCCGGGGTTCCACAGGAATTCTACAGAAACTGAAGGCCTCCCTATGGGCTGGAACACGTTACATGGGTGGTGGGTGGTGTGCAGTGAGGAAGTCAACCCCCATGAGAGTCTTGAGTTTTCCGGACCCTCAGTCCGGAAAGGTGCCAATGTCTGTGGGTGTCGCCATTGCTGCGAGTATCTCACACAAGCAGCCTCCCTCCATGCCTTCCTGCCTCCCTGCATACCTCCTTCCCTTCCTCCCTCTCTCCATGTCTCCCTTCCTTATTTTCTCCCTCTTTCACTCCTTCCCTTTCTCCCTCCATTCTGTCCTTTCCTCTCTTAATATCTCCCTCCCTCTCTGCCTGGGAGGCTCTCACGATCTCTACCCGCCTTCCCTGCCGCCTGGAAAAAGCAGCACCTGCGTTTGCGCAGGGACTCGTGTCTGCATGGTGGGGTAGGGGAGAGGAGGGGTGAGAGCTCTGCCTGGGTTGGTCCTCGAAGCGCAGCTGGCTCCCCCGAGAGGCGCGCAGGCGCCGCAGAAGGCCCACGTCTCAGGACCTGGGCTGTTCTGGGAAACCCGAGATGCTCAGGAAAGAATGGCAGCACAGCCCTGCCCTGTGTGTAGTGTCTCACCTGACTGACCTGGAACTCAGGGATCCTAGACAGGTGTGGGGGAAGGGAAGACTCGCCGCTGATTACGAAGGCAGTCAGTCAACGTGATCACGCCATTGCAAGCCAGAGAGACCAGAGCAACAGGCACCCTTGTGGAGTGCAAAGACAGACAGACAGAGACACACACACACACACACACACACACACACGCACGCACTGACGACGAAATCCGAAATCCCGTTTCAGTTGGACTGAGTGTGACTCCTGTGTGGATGGGACTGTCCCGCTCCTCCTGGCATCTGCTCGGGTGCGCAGGACAGCCAAGAGCCTGAGAGTGGGGAAGCGCCACCTCCGGAAGAGCCAGGGCAGCGAACCCCCTAGTGCCGGGGGCAGGTTTCGAGATTCCTTCTGCCGGCGGCGCGGCGGCCTGGCTCCCGGAAGCCCCCTGTGGGAGAGCCCCTGGCGCGCAGGGCACGTGGGGCGTGGGGCGCGGGGAGCGCCTTTTCCCATGCCCCGGTGTGGGTGAGGGCGACCGAGGGAGGAGGAGAGTGGCACCCCCCAGGGGCCGGATTGCACAGGGCCCCTGCGTGCGTGGGTGCCCTCTCACCTGGGCCTGGATGCCTGGCCCTTCGATTCTGAAACCAGATCTGAATCCTGGACTCCGGGAGGCCCGTCTCTCTGGCCAGGTCCTCCCTGGTGGCGAAGTCCGGAAATCGCTCTCGCTCGAAAGCTCGGAGGAGCACGGAGGTCTGGGACTGGGTCACGGCGGTCCGCTTTCGCCGGCCTTCTGGCGGGCCGCGGGGCCCAGGCCAGGACCTGGATTCCCGCTGGTGCTGCCTCAGCCGGCGCGATCTGTCATTCTGAAACCAAATCTGGACCCTGGGCTCTGGAATGCCGATGGCCTGGGCCAGCTTTCTCTGGTGGCCATGCCCGGGTACGGGTTCTGCTCCAAGGACTCTCGCAGGGCATCCCTTTGGCTCGGGGTCCAAACGAGTCTGCTTCGCCGTCCTCGCTCTCGGGCTTCCGCGGGGAGAGGGCTGCCAGGAGCTGTGGGGAGAGCCATCGCGGAGAGACCGGGCCCGAGTGTCACAGACAGACACAGGAACACAGAGGCCGGCCGGCTGGTTCCGGTGCGCCTCAGTCAACCTCTGCACTCCGCACCGCAGGCAGTTCGACCCAAGAGTCCGGCCCCACCAGCCAGAGACCGTTCTTATAAAGACCTAGCTGCCCCACCCCCCTCATGAATATGCATGAGCTCCGGGGACCAAGGGCGGGACAGCCCGCCCTCTCGAGCCGGAAACCAAACGCACCAGGGCCTTGCAGGGTGGGTGGGGTTGGGGCCAGAGCGGCCGAGGGAAGGAAAAGGGGGGCTTTGGGGCTGCTCTCCGGGGTTCCCCAGGAATCGACGGAAACTGAAACTCTCTCTCTGGGCCCCAACACTTTACTGGGGCGGGGCGGGGGCCGGGGTGTCGGCCAGGGAAAGGTGGAGTTCAGAAGTCCACCCCCACGACCGTCTTGAGTTTTCCGGCCCTCTCTCCGTGAAGGCGCCGACGTCTGTGGGTGCCGCCGTTGCCGCGAGTGTCTCATACACGCAGCTGCGTGGATCCTGTTCCTGTTTCTGTAGAAAACGAGAGCAAAAGCACAGAGAAGAGACGTCCCGTGCATGACGGCCTGACCGTGGATTCCTGTTTCCTGCAACACCGGGAGTCTCCCATACGGCCTGTTTGCAAACCGGAAAAATGAGCACGGGCACGATGCTGGTTTTCACGGATCCCTGGAACTTTCTGTTTCCCCTCTGAGCTCGGGAAACAGTCAACATGATCACCTGATCACCCCTTCGGAAGCCAGAGACGTGAGCAACAGGCACCTTTGCGGAGGACAAATGCATACACATAAGCGCACACACACACACACACACACACACACGCTGAAAGCCGAAATCCCGCTTCAGTCGGCCTGAGTGTGACTCCTGTGTGGATGGGACTGTCTGCCTCGCGCTCCATTGCAGGGCTCAACACGGGGATCTGTAGTCTGTGAGCCTGTGAATGACACCCAGGCTAGCACCAAAGTCTGGGCTCTTTGCTCTTTGGGGAATTCGGCCAATCCTGGGGAAGACGGCGGAATTCGTCTGGATCGCCCTCGTGGTGAAGGAACCCAGGCTGGTGGTGGCTGTGGCTGGCCAGGGAGCGCCCCGCCCGGCAGACGTGGACGAAATGTTTTCCGAGTGTGGGGTCCTCTTGGTCCTGGATGCAGAAGACCGCTCTTCTCTGCGTTTTTCCCTCTGTCCCTTGGTCCCTTTCTCCTTCTGTTCCTGAGTACTCACATCTTTCCCTTTCTTCCTCAATGTCTCCCACGCTCCGTTTCTTCCTTTCTTCCACCCTTTGTCCCTTTCTCACATTTACCCTCTCCCTCCCTCCCTCCCTCCGTGCCTCCCTCCCTTTCTATCTCCCTCCCGCCTTCCCTCCCTGCCTCCCTGCCTCCCGCCTTCCTGCCTCCCAGCTCCCCTGCCTCCCCCCTCCCCTGTCTCCCTCCCTCCCTCCCTGTCTCAGTCCCTTCCGTCCTTTTCTCCCTTCATTTCTCCCTCGCTCTCTGTCTGGGAGACTCTCCCCATCTCTATCCGCCTTCCCTCCCGCCTGGAAAAAGCAGCACCTCCGTTTGTACAGGGACTCGTGTCTGCGTGGTGGGGTAGGGGAGAGCAGGGATGAGAGCTTTGCCTGGGTTGGTCCACGAATTGCAGCTGGGAAGCCATGTAGGTGCAGTAGACCCACATCCCCGAAACTGGGAGGCTCTGGGATCCTCCCCCCTCTCCCAACTTCGAGACGCTCAGGAAAGAATGTCAGCACAGCCCTGCCCCGTATGTAGTGTCTCACAAGACATACCTGGAATTCAGGGATCCTAGGCAGGTCAGGGGGAAGGGAAGACTCGCTGCTGGATACCGAGGCAGACAGTCAACAGGATCACCTGATCACGCCTTTGGAAGCAGAGAGATGTGAGCGACAGGCACCGTTGCGGAGTGCACGTACGGGGACACACACACACACACACACACACGCAGAAATCCGAAATCCCGCTTCAGTCGGCTTGAGTGTGACTCCTGTGTGGATGGGACTATCTGCGTCGCGCTCCGTTGCAGGGTTCAACATGGGGATCTGTAGTCTTTGAACCCTGTGAATGAAACCCGGACTAGCACCAGAGTCTGAGCTCTTTGCTCTTCGGGGAATTCGGCCAGTCCTGGGGTGACGGCGGAATTCGTCTGGATCGCCCCCCGTGGTGAAGGAACCCGGGCTGGCGGTGGTTGTGGCTGGCCAGGGAGCGCCCCGTCCGGCAGACGAGAAGCAGACGAAATGTTTTCCGAATGTGGGGTCCTCTTGGTGCTGGAGGCAGAAGACCCCTCTTCTCTCTGCCTTTTTCCCTTTCTTTTGGTCCGTTTCTCCTTCTGTTCCTCCCTATTCCCATCTTTCCCTTTCTTCCTCAATCCCTACAAACCTCCCTTTCTTCCTTTCTTTCTCCCTTTTTCACTTTTACTCTCTCCCTCCCTGCCTCCCTCCCTCCTTCCCTCCCTCCCTGCCTCTCTCCCTCCCTCCCTTCCTCCCTCCCTGCCTTCCTGCCTCTCTCCCTCCCTCCCTTCCTCCCTCCCTACCTCCCTGCTTCCCTCCCTCCCTACCTCCCTGCTTCCCTCCCTCCCTCCCTCCCTGCCTTCCTGCCTCTCTCCCTCCCTCCCTTCCTCCCTCCCTACCTCCCTGCTTCCCTCCCTCCCTGCCTCCCTGCTTCCCTGCCTTCCTGCCTCCCTCCCTGCCTTCCTCTCTCCCTGCCTCCCTCCCTCTCTGCCTGTGAGGCTCTCCCGATCTCTACCCGCCTTCTCTGCCGCCTGGAAAAAGCAGCACCTTCGTTTGCTTTGGGTCTGCGTGGTGGGGTGGGGGGAGGAAGGTTGAGAGCTTTGCCTGGGCTGGCCCACGAAGAGCAGCTGGCTCTCTGGGGACCCGCGCAAGCGCAGTAGACGCCCCCGTCCCGGGACCTGAGCTGCTCTGGGATCCCGGAGATGCCCAGGAAACAATGACAGCACAGTGTAGTGTCTCACAGGACGGACCTGGAACTCAGGGATCCTGGACAGGTCAGAGGGAAGGGGAGACTCGCCGCTGGATACGGAAGGCATCCACGAGAGATGGAAAATAAAAATGAAAGTCAAAGAAAATTAGTAGAAACCAAAGTCAAATGCTAAAGCAGCGAGAAACGATTCACAGCACGATGGAAACAGAGTGGATGAAGGAGTCTGGGAAATGAATCTTAGTCACAGAAAGCACAGCAGTGACCATAGCAAGGTGATGACGATTCTGGTCCACTGGATCCCACCATCCCCATGACAGTAAATCCCATGACGGTCACCACTCAGCAAGCTACGACCGCATTATTTCCTGTTTCTTCCAAAATGAATAACTGTGATTCTCATCACAAGGGCAAATACAAATTCTTTATATTAAACTAAACTGTCATGGTTTAATTTAGTTTTCTAAAGTTCTTATAATTTTGAAAATGCAGTTGACACTTGTATGGCTTATGAAATTTCCAATAGTCTTGCGTTACTTGAAGTGTTCAAAATACTGCATATTTTAAATTAAAAAGAGTAAAATTTATGTATTTTTTATACATATTTAAGGCCCAAGACTCACAAGTAATGCTGTTTATGATTTGAAAATTTCAAAGTTTTGTTTTCCATCTGGACATAGTGTATCGTGCTGAAACAGTTGTTCTTTAAAGTGGCAGCCACAGATTTTGTCTCTCTGGATATATTTTGGACTTTAAATATTAAATGCAACATATTAAAAATTCTTCATTTTATTTTAGAAAATTTAAGATTGATGTCCACAAAAAATGCAAATTACTGTAGGGTTCAGCAAACAATGTATATAATGTGGCATTAATATCTCTATTTTTGATGTCTACATCTTTTTGTAGAAAAGCTTGGTTTCTTTAAAAATGTCTCCACAAATTCAGGCTTATTTTATAAAATGGTAAAATAGTAAAGAAATGGGTGGAGCTGGGCTACTTAGGAGGCTGAGGCAGGAGAATTGCCTGAACCCAGGAGGTGGAGGTTGCGGTGAGCCGAGGTCGCGCCATTGCACTCCAGCCTGGGTAACAAGAGCAAAACTCCATCTCGAGGGGGAAAAAAAAAAAAGAAACGGGTGGTTTGGCACACCATGTGAATAATACTAGCACTCAAATTACAAATTAATCCAAATTATTTAGAAAGTAGATATAAATAATTTGTTTTAATACAGTGACAGATATTCACAAACACTTAAAAAGTCAAATCTATTAGTATTAGGCTTGACTTAGTTTATATATATATAAGATCAAAACTTTGTTAAAAATAAATATTTTAAATCAGTAATTTGGTGGTTGTTTTGAGATGGAGTCTCACTCTGTCACCAGGCTGGAGTGCAGTGGTGTGATCTCGGCTCACTATAACCTCCACCTCGTGGGATTAAGCGATTCTTCTGCCTCAGCCTCCTGAGTAGCTGAGACTACAAGCATATGTCACCATGCCTGGCTAATTTTTGTATTTTTCATAGAGATGGGGTTTCACTATATTACCCATGTTGGTCTCGAACTCCTGACCTCATGGTCCACCCACCTTAGCCTTCCAAAGTACTGGGATTACAGGCATGAGCCAATTTGATGTTTCTAACTACTCAGATGTCCTGTTTTAATCAAATTAAGTTTGGGGAAAGTTGCCTCATTTTATTTAATTTTTTGTTCAATGTATTCAAAATTTTCTAGTTTAACCTAATATTGATGAATGAGGAGTAAACAATTATTTTTAAAATCTCAGGCCTATTAAATTGCTGGAGACATTTCTAATTTAAAAATTTTGGGCTAAACAACTCTATGCACATAAACTAGTAAACCTGGAAGAAATGGATAAATTCCTGGACTCCTGTGTCCTCCCAAGCCTAAACCGGGAGGAAGCTGAAACTATGAATAGACCAATAAAAAGGTCAGAAGTCGAGGCAGCAATTAAGCCTACCATACACAAAAAGCCCAGGTCCAGATGGGTTCAGAGCTGAATTCTATCAGACAAACAAAGCGGAGCTGGTACCATTCCTTCTGAAACTATTCCAAATAATCCAAAAAGAGGGAATCCTTCCCAAATCATTTTATGAGACCAATATCATCCTGATAGCAAAACCCGGCAGAGACCCAACAAGAAAAGAAAACTTCAGGCCAATATCCATGATGAACATAGATGCAAAAATCTTCAATAAAATATTGGCAAGCCAATTGCAACAGCAAATCAAAAAACTTATCCATCATGATCAAGTAGGATTCATCCCGGGGATGCAAGGCTGGTTCAACATACGCAAGTCTATCAACGTAATTCACCACATAAACAGAACCAAAAACAAAAACCACATGATTATCTCAATTGACGCAGAGAAGGCATTCGACAAAATTCAACAGCCCTTTATGCTAAAAACCCTCAATAAACTCAGTATCAATGGAATGTATCTCAAAATAATAAAAGCTATTTATGATAAACCAACAGCCAATATCATACTGAATGGGCAAAAACTGAAAGCATTCCCTTTGAAATCCGGCACTAGACAAGGATGCCCTCTTTCACCACTCCTATTCAATATAGTACTGGAAGTTCTAGCCAGAGCAATCAGGCAAGAAAAAGAAATAAAGCGTATTCAAATAGGAAAGGTGGAAGCCAAATTGTCTCTATTTGCAGATGACATGATAGTATACTTAGAAGACCCCAACACCTCAGCCCAAAAACTCCTGAAACTGATAAGCAACTTCAGCAAAGTCTCAGGATATAAAATCAATGTGCAAAAATCACAAGCCTTCCTCTACACCAATAACAGACTTCAAAAAAGCCAAATCAAGAACGAACTGCCATTCACAATTGCTACAAAAAGAATAAAATACCTAGGAATACAACTCACAAGGAACATAAGGGACCTCTTCAAGGAAAACTACAAACCACTGCTCAACGAAATCAGAGAGAAAACAAACAAATGGAGAAACATTTCATGTTCATGGTAAGGAAGAATTAATATCGTGAAAATGGCTATACTGCCCAAAGTAATTTACAGAATCAATGCTATCCCCATCAAGCTACCATTGACTTTCTTCACAGAACTGGAAAAAACCACCATGAAATTCATATGAAACCAAAAGAGAGCCCGCATAGCCAAGTCAATTCTAAGCAAAAAGAACACAGTGGGGGGCATCCAACTACCGGATTTCAAACTATACTACAAGGCTACAGTAATCAAAACAGCATGGTACTGGTACCAAAACAGAGATATAGACCAATGGAACAAAACAGAGGCATCGGAGGCAACACAGCATATCTACAACCATACAACCTTTGATAAACCTGACAAAAACAAGCAATGGGGAAAGGATTCCCTGTTTAACAAATGGTGTTGGGAAAACTGGCTAGCCATGTGCAGAAAGCAGAAACTGGACCTTTTCCTGACACCTTACACTAAAATTAACTCCAGATGGTTTAAAGACTTAAACATAAGACCTGGCACCATAAAAACCCTAGAAGGAAATCTAGGCAAAACCATCCTGGACATAGGAGTAGGCAAGGACTTCATGAACAAAACACCAAAGCATTGGCAACAAAAGCCAAAATAGACAAATGGGACCTAATCATACTCCACAGCTTCTGCACGGCAAAAGAAACAGTCACTAGAGTGAATCGGCAACCAACAGAATGGGAAAAAATTTTTACAGTTTACCCATCTGACAAAGGGCTGATATCCAGAATTTACAAAGAACTCAAACAGATTTACAGAAAAAAACAAACAAGCCCATTCAAAAGTGGGCAAAGGATATGAACAGACACTTTACAAAAGAAGACATATATGAGGCCAACAATCATATGAAAAAATGCTCATCATCACTGGTCATCAGAGAGATGCAAATCAAAACCACATTGAGATACCATCTCACGCCAGTTAGAATGGCGATCATTAAAAAATCTGGAGACAACAGATGCTGGAGAGGATGTGGAGAAAAAGGAACACTTTTACACTGTTGGTGGGAGTGTAAATTAGTTCAACCATTGTGGAAGACAGTGTGGCGATTCCTCAAGGCCTTAGAAATAGAAATTCCATTTGACCCAGCAATCCCATTACTGGATATATATCCAAAGGACTATAAATCGTTCTACTATAAGGACACATGCACACGAATGTTCATTGCAGCACTGTTTACAATAGCAAAGACCTGGAATCAACCCAAATGCCCATTGATGATAGACTGGATTGGGAAAATGTGGCACATATACACCATGGAATATTATGCAGCAATCAGAAATGATGAGTTTGTGTCGTTTGTAGGGACATGGATGAATCTGGAGAACATCATATTCAGCAAACTGACACAAGAACAGAAAATGAAATACTGCATATTCTCACTCATAGGCGGGTGATGAAAAATGAGAACACGTGGACACAGGGAGGGGAGTACTAAACACTGGGGTCTATTGGGGGGAAAGGCGGAGGGCCAGCGGGTGGGGGAGCTGGGGAGGGATATCCTGGGGAGAAATGCCAAATGTGGGTGAAGGGGAGAAAGGAAGCAAAACACACTGCCATGTGTGTACGTATGCAACTGTCTTGCATGTTCTGCACATGTACCCCAAAACCTAAAATGCAATAAAAAATAAAAAAAAAAATTTTGGGCTGGGCAGGGTGGCTTATTCCTATACTCCCAGCACTTTTGGAGGCAGAGGCATGCAAGTCACTTGAAGCCAGGAGTTCGAGACAAGCCTGGCCAACCCAGGAAGTGCAAGTTGCAATGAGCCACGACTGTGCCATTGCACTCCAGTCTGGCACAGTTTTGAAAATCCATCTCAAAAAAATAAAAAATAAATAGAATAAAGCAAATAAAAATTTAGCACTTTGATGGAATCAAAACAAGTATTTAAAACATTTATTCTGACTCATTTTTTCACGAAAATGATTGTGATGGAATGGCTGCAGCAGTGTGGTCTTAACGCTCTCTGTTTCATCATTCTTGGGCTATGGTCATAAAACTTCTATGCTTTTTTTTAAGACAAATGTTTTGTTAACTCAATAATTTAGCATGATCTTCAAAGTCTCGTATTTTTAAAAATGGTTCATTCTTAAGAAAATGTGATTAAATCACCTACTACTTATTCTAAAAAGAGTAACAAATTATATAGTCTAGTGTATAGTTAATATATAAAAATATAGATGTAGAGTCATTTTAACTGCACACTTGGGAATAAAACATATCTTGGGCTATAGGCCAAGAGCTTTCAGATAAGATAGCTTACAAAATGTGGGAGACCTGGTTTAAAAACAGTTACCACT